CTTGAGGGCATGCAGACCTCAACTTTATACCCTCTAATTTCTTGTCAACATTTCTGTTTTCATTGGTGTCTAAATCTGTCTAGATCTTGGTCAGTAAGTGTAACAAGTTTCATATGTTATTCAAACTTGAAGGCAATACATGAAATAAAGAAAGTAAAAAGAAAGAAAGAGAGAAAGAAAGAAAAGTTTGTATATTGTCAGATCTAATGCAGTTCTTAGAAGGTAATTAGATGGATTTCATAAACGTTGGGTCAAGTTTTGAAACCAAAGACTCATGTCAAGTTTGTACTCAGCATGTAGCCACTACGTCTGTTTGGAACCAGAAGGGCGTTAACTATAAAACAAAGTCAATGTCCATAAGTTTCCAATCAGATGATATTTTGAGAGCTGATTTTGGTCTATAATGCACTGGAGTTGACAGAAATATTGGAAACAAATTAATCAGTAGTTAATAAAGTTCAAAAGTGCCCTTCAACCACAACTGCCCTCCCCTCTATCCTTGTATTGCATTATTTAACAAAGCTGTTTGTATGAGATGAAACCCAAAGTTAAATCAATGTGTTTTTGTAATTTATTTATTCATCTTTCTCTCTCTCTCCCTTTTTCTGGGGGGGGGGGGGGTATTTCTAAATCACTGTATTTTACTCTCTCTCTCTCTCACTCTCTCTTTCTCTCTTTCCCCTTCTCATCTCATTTTTTCCTAATCCATCTTAATGTAATCTATTTCATGAATTCATTGATAAACAGGTATTAGTTTTAAGCTGCTGATGGAGTTATTGATAACAGCATTTTGGCTTCATATTGCATATCTTCAAATAGTCAAAAGTGTTACACTAATTTCTGGATATGAAATTTGAGCTGAGAAAATATTAAAGCAATTTATGGTCATATTTTTGAATGGCCTGGTGGGACTTGACCTCCAGTGACTTCCATCACAAGAGGTCAATCTACGGCTGACCTTAAGAGAAGAAGGGGGAAACAGGAAGCCATTGACTTCTGAACTGAACTTTCATGGTCCTATTAGAATTAGCTTTAATAAGAATCCATGTGCTTCTTTGCACACCTACGTAAAGGATTAAGTTAAGAGAGGGAGTGGGTGCAAATAACTGATAATGAGAACAAAGAATTTATAAATATAATCCATATCCGTTAAGATTGATTTTGAGGTTTGGCTAGTGGTCCTAACTGTGCAGCACGTGAAAAACAATTCATTTCATTCAAAGGTGGTCACATTTTGGGGGACAGAATTGAGAGAAAAGGTAGGCGTACATGGCTCCAATTACTACAAAGATTGAAGTCATTTACTCCACAATCTCTCTTTTGGGCCTTCTCACAAGTTTTCAGACGGTCCACTGGACCAACATTGTCAGTCACGCGGGCGGTCAGTCTTTTTAGCCCTAATAAAGCAGTTTAATTTTACTTGCAGGATTCTTATTTCACTCATTAACAACTTTACTATTGCTAAGATTTGTTATTTCTATAGCATATTTCAGACATAAGTAAAGTCAACCCCACTGTACTTTCATGTGATCACAAATTAATTCTTCAACATCACAGAGTCATAACTATATATAATTGCATCTTTCTCCTGTAAAATCTACCTCATCAACGTGGGAAGAAATTAGCAAAGAACAGTCAAGTCATCAAAATCATGATAGTCATGATCCTGACCTTTGACCTTTCTTACTTCCTTATTGAAAGAGTAATTACATTAAAGACTATGTCAACACATCAAAGTGAAATGGAAACAACCCTATACTCATACTCAATTGCTTCTGTACTGCGCTAGATCATATTATCTTCCCATGGGATAGGCTTATAAAACTGAACATGATATGTTCTCAATGTCGGTATGTTTTGATCGGCGAAGGTCTGTAGTTTAGAATATCTGATCAGGGACTAGTATCGTCTCTGGTTACATAGATAAATTGATGGTATGGAAAATACTCATACAAGCAGGTATGTGTTTACAAAGAAGTGGGCACTCCAATTGAGAGAAAGATTTCTGTATAATGACAAATAACAAACCTTTCTTGGTTTTATACTGTAAACACAAATAAATGAAATGTTAACCTTTTAAATAGATATAGTGCAGTTTAAAGCTAAACATCACACAAAAGTTAACACAGATGCAATTTTAATAGCATAGCACTTCACCTATCAAATTGTGAGAACATTGCAGTGACTGTTACATCTAAACATGATTTCTATGGGCAACACAATAAGGTATTACATTTGCCCTAAAATTGGGTTTCCTTAAAGTTTTTTTAAAGCGATAGTGCATACAAAGGTAAAAAGAAAAGATAGAGAGAGAGAGAGAGAGACAGGAGGAGAGGATATTTAAAGACAGATGAATACAAAGAGATACAATCAAAGGAAGATAAATTTATGTCCAAATTAACCTGATCAGAAGTAGGTTAAATTTTGCAAGTTTGAAAAAGTACAAAGCCTTTTGATACTAGGACCATAAACCTCATTCGCATAGATGGATAGATAGATGGATAGATTGTGACAGCGATAGATCAAAAGGGATTGATAAACAGGTGGAAACCTCAGAAGTTGGACAGATTGATAGAACCATGGACTACAGAAATTCTTTGAAATCTTAAGATTGCCCAGAAAGAAGGGTTTCGACGAGGCCCTACCTAACACAGCTTGACAACAGTAAAGCCAGAGGACTTCTTTTTTCTTGAAAAAAAAATAGAAGCAGAAAAGTATATGACTCTCAATCCTACAAGAGCTATCCTGAGATATCTTGATATATCCCTAAATACACTGGCAATTCAGTGACTTTAACAGTGATCTTCATAGAAATGAATATCATCCAATCTATTATTATTAACAATGATGGCACTACATATATGCTGCAATATTAATACAGCAGGATATTATATATTTTAAGCAAAGATGAATGAAAATTGTTTTTGAACTGTATGTAGTAATAGTATTCTTTATTTGACATTTCACTCTGAGGGAGTATTAATCTGAAAATAAATACTGCATTTCATCCAATAGATGACATTGCAAAAAGAAGTAGAACAAATGTAAGAAGAAGAACAAGAAGAAGAAATGAAAGTTCCAAATAGTGAGATCAAACACATACAACTTGGAACAGCATTAGATCACAGAGCAATATTATACAGGGCTGTAACTTACATCTAGCACAAGATGCATGTTTCTGATTGGCTACCAAAATGAAGCTGCCTTTCTTAACAGCCAATCAAAGAAGTTTTGAGTGCAAGGCTGGACTCTCTCCCCCAATCAGAACCCAGTAGGCTATCCTGTGTGTGTGCATGTAATATACACAATCTATGCATGTGTGCACAACTGTCAATGTGCACAAGAGCCAAGTATGCTGTATGCATACTAGTCTGAATTTCAATACCAAGTTTTTATTCACTCTGAAATCTGCCCGATTCTGTCATTGAATCAATGCCCTTCTAGCTCTCAAACATGCTTTGATTAGCACCAAGTATATCAACTTCCTCATTCCGGTCATCTTTTTTCCTAGTAAATTGCAAGAATGAAGGCTTCAACCATAATTGATTTTGACACATCAAATACTCTGAGGCACTCTGAGTGTTAAGGAATGGCATGAAGTCAGATAAAGAGAGTATACATCAGGCCTAAATGGATATTGTATACAGCAATTTTGTTGAGATATAGGGAGAATAATCCTATGTAAAAATGAGTTCATAAGTTTGTCCTGCTATTATGAATGTCTTGTCAGCATTACTAGCCTAACATACGGTGAGCCTACATTAATAGGTCATAACATATCTTCAAACCCTGAAAAAGCAATTTATCAATGTTCAAAACATGTACAATCATAGTTCCATAAATCACAATTATTTTGATAAGGGTGGGCTTAGGTAGGTCTACTATGTTCCTCTTCAAATACAATATGCAAACTACTAACCAATAAACGCTACAGTCCTAAGTAAATATGTTCTCTGCAAAAGCCAAAGGCCATAAAGAACAGCTCACCATATTAAAAGGGAACCTCACCAGAAACATTAATACAAGAGAATACATGTGACCAATCCGCCAAAGTAAATACTATTCCTGAGGGTTGGGCATATCTAATGGGTTTTGAATACTGTGTACATAGCAATGTTAGGCATATTTACATTAAGAGATTCCAAACCCTCTTGTAGTTTTCACTTGTGAATACTCAATGTAGAATACATAGGCTACATGTACTACAATGTGATTGACAAAAGAGGATGCTATGCAAAACAGGTCTGCAACCACACTACTGATTTTTCAAGTCATAAGTATATCTGGAATAATCTCCTGATGATAGCCTGTTTTTAGTGGTTGTTTAGACTGGAAGTGTTGTAAAAAGATAATAACCCACAGCTTTGTTATTAACTACGAGTTTATACCTGGAAAACAAAATAGTATTATGAGGAAAGATTGGCAGCGTGTGAACTCTGTTCACTTGTACTATTTGACCAGAGTTGGCAAGGACTTAGAATGAAAGTCCAAAAGACCGTTTTAAGCTTCCCTTGGGGTATGTCTCTGACATCTAGCCAAGTTTGAGTCTTTCTTTCCTCTCTTTCTCACTCTTTCTAATGCTTTCTTTATCTCACTCCCCCCGCCCCCAATCCTTGCCAAAAATCTTCCACCCTCCCCCTTCTGTTTCTCTCCATCCCTCCCTCCTCTTTTTTCCCTCTCCATCCCTCCCTCCCTCCTTTTCTTTCCCTCACTCCCTCCCTCCTTCATTTTCTCTCCCTCTCTCCTTCATGTTCTCTCCCTCCCTCTTTTTTCTTTCCCTCCGTCCATCCTTCTCTTTGTCTCCCTCACTCTCTGCCTCCCTCCCTCTATCATTATATGTCAGTCTCTGCCAGTGTCACTGTCTCTCTCTGTCTCTCTCTCTCTTCCTCTCTCTCTCTCTCTCTCTCTCTCTCTCTCTCTCGCTCTGTTTTCTCACCCCCTCTAACAATATCTGTCACACTCTCTCTCTCTCTCTTTCTCTCTCTCTCTCTCTCTCTCTTTATCTGTCTGACTGCACGTTCCTGAAACTGATTCTCAAGTAGACCCTATTTGTTACAGTGTGTGAATGGCTTAGGGTATAAGAGTGGGGTCCCCTTTCAGAGCGTGAATCAGTTTAGATCACCTCCCGTCCACATGGCAAAGCTGCTTCTGCATGAGCTGCACGAGTGCTTGGATCATGGCTCTACGGTATTCTCATCACAAAACATCTTCAAATTGGTTCTTAAACTAGTAAACTATTAATGAACTGCTACAGAATTGAGACATTTTGACTCTTTTAATGAGTCAGAGGGACAGGATGATTGATCGGACTCTGGAATAGTGACATCATTTTAGATAAAGCTGATTGCATTCAGCAGGTAATCTCTGATATTGTGTTGTATCAACGACTGGATTTATTTGGAGCTTGGAAACAGTTCAAATGGTGTAACACATCAGGAATCAGGGTAAGTAGTTAGAAGATTCCTTCTTATTTAACTTTCTAGCATCAAAGGTGTGTCAATTTCAACTAACCACTTATCCCAAAGCATAGATGTGTAGAACAACTACAGAATAGCCCAAACACCTTTAAAATACCCTGTCTCTATAGGGCCTAACATTAACCCTTAATTACCTTACCCCTAATGTGTGTTTTTCCAAGTTTGCCAACATTTTAAGATTATAATATTAATGAAAACGAAGGTTTTATATGAATTATACATGTTCATCTAAGGAAATCAAATGCGATTAAAAAAGAAATAAAGTTGATAAAGCAAGCAGGCAACTTGTGTGCGATGGAGAAAGAGAAAGGCATAAACAGAAAGTTAAAAGCCCATAGAAAATGAATTATATTTACTTGATGTTTAAATTAAAATTAAAATCAAAATATTGTAAGTTTGAGTCTCTTGCAAATTGCAAGTTTGACAGTCTTGTTTGCATAATAATATGGACAATTGAACAGACATTATAAGCTGGGGTGAGGTTGTCTACATGAGAGTAATATTTAAGGTGCGTCAGTCCACTAAAGGCTCAGGCCTAAGGCGTGTTAATAGAGTCTGAGAATTCTAGCACGAGATATTCTTGTCTTTATTCAACTAACTGCCAGCTTAATCATCGAAGTACCAGAAAATTGTATGGTATTGACATTCCTATTGGTAATAAATCATGCCAACCCAAATTATTATGTTTGTGCTTTCAAAAGCAATTCCTCCATGCAATCCAACAAATGGTGAAGTGTAATAATGTCTCTAAGCAGGATTTCCAGCTGTACACTTGATTTGTAAGACGTCTGTTTGGAGCCAGAAGGGCATTAGTAGGTGTTAACACATGCTTAATATCCTTCTGATGTTGAACAGGCAATGTGTTGTATACATGTATTATCATTTGATAGCTTGAATCTCTTGTTTCAAATGATATACAATGCCAAAGCATATGTTAGTAGTCCTGTTTCCATCAGCTCGAGATTGCCAAATAGCCCGTTATTTTAACTATCCCGTTCGCCAATTATCCAGGTAATTTGCGTTTTCATCGATCAGCCCACAGTTGCAATTAGCAGGATATTTCGTTGAGATAATCAGCCCAAGATATCTTGGGCTAGTTAGAAAATATCCTGCTTTTTTGACGCGATTTGTAACTTCAGGCTTATTTCCCAAATCAGAAAAAGCAGGCTATTTGGCAATCACGAGCTGATGACGACATATCTAATGATTTGTGGCAATTTCAAGCCGACAGATCACATTTCTATGATGACCTTCTCCTATTAACCTAGACTGGAATGTGTTACGATGTTTATTTATGAATCATTTCATCTGATATGTGCAAAATATTTGATATGGTGAAAAATTAAGGTATAATATTAGAAACCTACTTTTCAAATATTTACTTGTTGTGTATTTTTTAGTAGCTAGTCTGGTTTTCCATTTTAACTGAGTGTAGAGAACTCCATTCATGGGTCAAGACAGCTTTATGAGCTCTGAAAAGAACTCAACAACTTGTGTCCGTTTGCAAAAAACAGTAGGCCTATAAGACTGCTGTTTTTTCTGCAAGTGAGCAAGATAACAATGATGCATATTTCCAACAAGGACAATAAGTGTCAGCCTTAAATAAAGCCAATCAATTATCATAATTTCTTGGATGTAGCAAAGACTGAAAAAATAGTTACCTTGTCTGCTGACCTTGGCTTATAAATTTCAAATTCAAATTTTTAGAATGAATTTCTCATGTTCAGAAAATATTACTTGTATGACTGCCTGTGAAGCTTATTGACCTCTAGCTAGATTTGATTTTTTTTTTTTTTAAGAATAAGTTTGAATATCAATTTCTTTCAATTCCACTGAATATGATACAAAGAAACACGCAGAAGCCCATAAACTCTTAAGAAAACAAAGATATTAAAGAATTCAATTCATGTTCTCTACAAGTGATAGTACCCACATATACATGCCTATAAAAGTGAATGCTGTAAACAAGTTGTTTCACTAAGGAATTCAGGGCCTATATGGGAATAATAGCCAAAGAAACATCCACCTAATTTCAAAAGAAAAGGATGATAATAACTTTAAATTTCATTAATTAAAATAATAAATAGCAATTATCCAAACTATATTTAAAGTTTACTTAATTCATACTAACCTATTTTTCTAAACCATACTGCCCCATACAATCCCACCTGTCCATCGAGTCTCAAGCCCTTTCCTAAATACCTTCTGTCTCCTTTGTCATGTTGTTTTTCACCACCACATTACTAACATCCTCCCCTCCCTTCCTGTCAGTCATCTCCTATTAGATTCTCTAGGGGTTTAATACAGGTGAGGACTGCGCCAAAAATGACACTGACCACAGGGGATGTACAAGCATCTCGCCTCCTTAGGCCTTCTTTTCTTCTTGCTTGCGCACTGGTTGTTTTAAAGAGATAGTCAAGTTCTGGTAAAGGTCAAAAGAAACAAATGCCAGTGTTCTTATGTTTGTAATCCAAAGTAGGAGAATATCATGGTAACAGTACCTTAAGAAAAGGATAGCTCTTGGAGTGCTATCATATTCAAAATTTGAATTTGAATGAAAATAGTTCAGAAATTTGAATGAAAATAGTTCAGAAATTCAATAAAGTTTTTCTCACATTAAATTGAATGACCACTCAATATCACCTCCATTTAATAATTTCCTCCACTTTTCATTCTTTCCTGTAGGTCATCATACTTCCACCTTGAACTATAGTGGTCAGCAAGGGTCAAGTTCTTAGATTGTCCAGCAACCAACAGGGAGTAAGCCAGCATTCCGAGGAATTGTACTTTTCAAGGACCTATGACGTAGGTCATTCCACAGACTGTGATGGGAGAAAGTGTAAATGGAGCTTGCGTGCCAGGGATTTGATAAAAAGCCCTCTACTGGACTTACTTTTATCACTGTGAGACTACTGGTCCAAGAAAGATACTATTTTTGAGAGGAAGCTTAAAGCGGAGCTCCTCGGAAGAAATGACTTTTTGAAACTTGGAAGATACTATTTTTGAGAGGGATTTAGGAGAGCATAAAACAGATAAATATATATCTTGGCATCTGGTGAATGTGATCTGTCTAACTATTTAAAGAATACCACTTGGATCCCTAGGAGCTGTATTGGAAAGCACTTCATCTGCATTACTTTGGTATTTGAAGCACTATATTTCTAACCATTTGTGATCCAAAGGAAACCTTGTGAAATGATTGGATCAAGACTCCTTTGATTAAAATGGCAATGGTCGGGAAAAGGAGCTTACTTGAATCACTGTGATCATCACTTTGCATCAAATTGTAGCATCTACTTCTAACTATCTGCAAGTATACTGAAGGAAAATGCATAAGAACTAGACCCTCTCATTATGTACAGACCAACTTTACTCAAGATGTTATTGGGCATCTGTTTGGTTGTCATGGCAACTAGTCTGACTTCTGTCTCTGCAGAAAGGGTCCCAGAATGGAACACATGGCAGCAGCTACGACTGCCCAAGATGCACACTGAACAAGGTAGTGAGATGGACACTCTTTCACAGACTGCCAAAATATTTCATGAATTAAAAGCAGGAAAGAGTTTGAAGTTTGGAGACGAGCATCTAAACTTGGAATCTATCGAGAAAAGTCTTTCGTTTGAACAAACTAGTGCTCAAAACCTGAGTGATATTCTTAGAACTAAAGTCAGTGTGGATGATGCTTGGGATCTACTCAATTTCAAGCTCTTTCCAGGAGACAGTTCAGCCAGCATGGATCCCGGTCCACCCCGTAGGAAGAGACATATTTTTGGCACGGACACGAGGTACCAGATCACTAAAGACTTCAGGAAGATATTCCCGTTTTCAGCAGTCGCCCAGCTGTCAACGGGCTGCTCCGGTGTGTTGATAGGCCCTAGGCATGTTCTGACTGCAGCAGAATGTATTCACAATGGCAAACGGTACCGTGGCAATGCCAAGAATCTTCGGGTTGGACTCGTTCACCCAGGAAACCTAACAACCCCTAGAAGAGCGCCCTCTAGAGGCTCGAAGCAAGATGCTAGTCTAAAGTGGTATGAGGTTGAGCAGCTCTACATCCCTGACGGATGGGTATCACCAAACTACATGGAGCAGCGCGATTCCTTCAACTACGCCGTTCTCAAGCTTGCAGAGAACCACAACCTAAACTGCATGGAGGTAGGCGTCAGCTCCAGTCACAATACCAACAGAATGCAGCGAATCCACTTCTCTAGTTTTGATGATTATGAATACAATGATAATCCTGTTCTTGCATACAGACATTGCTTTATTGAGCATGTAAGCGAAACAGAGAATTACCTCTATGAAAAATGTGACTCTACAAAATCATCAGTGGGGGCAGGGATTTACTTGCGACTTTGGGACATGGAGAATTGGCAGTGGTCGCGACGCGTGATGGCTGTGAAGACGTCAGAGATGGTGAGAATGAGAATAAGGGGTAGGATAGTGAGGACCGGGAGGGATGTACGTTTGACGCTCCTGAACTTTGGTCAGATTTGTTATTGGGTGATGGGAGACTTTGAGGCCTGTAGTCGAGGGAGGATTGAAGATGCTTGCCTTATGCCTTAAAGATAATGCAATTGTCATGGAAATGCACGTCAGAATATATAAACACTGGACTCTTGACACGCACATCTGCTGGTTCATGAGGCTAATATTGTACAAGATGAACATATACTATGCAATGTATTGCCCGAGTGGGTCAAGTAAACAGTGGCTGAAAGGAATTCATATTGGCTGATATATTTCTAATATTCACTACATTACTTTAAAAAAATGATTTTGTTCAAATAACATGAGCGGGCTGAAATAATTTAAGCACCATCTAAATTAATCCTTTACAATAATCTTAACAGTCTCCTTCAAAACAATTGTTCTTATTAAAATATTTCCCAAAGTACTTCATGTAGTGTGGATGACTATTTTATATCATTTGATAAAGTTACTGTTAATGCTGCTTTAATTCAATCCTTCACTTTGATTATTGTTTTTATAAAGCTTTAAGGATTTATTTATAGACTGTTATTTATGTGTATACTTCTGAACGTAACTATCATTTATCTTATAGTGTTTCTGTATGTACATGTATATAAATACTATCAATTGTTTGTATAGGTTAAACAAGTGTTGTTAAAGTATATTCAAGAGAAATGATGAATATTTAATGATTTGTTAAAATGTCAAAATGATGTTAAATTTTGTTTTCTTCAAATGCTGAAGTAGATTTTGAACCTTCACATACTATGTACATAGATAGGGAAGAAAAAAAAACATGCAAGTGCAAAAAAAAAAGTACTAAAATATGCTTTTACTCAACACTTGATGTTTGTTTTTAACCATCTAGAAAGGATATAAGGAAGTATGTGCTTACCTGTTTTCCGTGATTTGAAGTGAAGTATGGTAGACAATGCATGGAAAGAAAAAAGACAGAAATAAACATAGATTACAAACGATGATAACTTAAACATGGCATGACAATCATGATCTTTTATTTCATTTTATTTTATCAAAGTACCTGATGAAATATTGGCACAAATTTGTCTTATTTCATACTTCCCCCCTTGAGGTTTGAATGAACCATAGTAGACCTATATCAGACTGGAAATCTAAAAATGATATGAATCAGGATCTATTGGGAAAACTAATGTGGCAAAGTTTAGGTTTCAAAGAAAAGTAATGTTACTGCCAAATGAACCCCATCCAGAACAAACTATGATGTGATGAAGCAAATCAAGACAGATCAAGACAAACCAAATAATGAAATTGCCCTCATTCTGTTCACAATTTGTGACTTTGGATCAGGGTCAAATTAAATAGTTAATCTGTTGAGAGTAAAAAGCACCTTAGCTTTATAAGTTTAAGCACTTTTTTTCTCTGAGCCCATGAGACATTGTGTATAATATTGACACTTTTTTTATTGCTCAAATTTATGAAGCTGACAATGACAAATTACTTTCATATATCTATGTCTCGATCTTCAGTCCATGTGGACTACACAACAAAATATCTTTTTATTAGACCAAACAATTCTCCTTTCATTTTTATTGTCTCTTTACTAGCAGAAATTTTGAGTATGTTCTTTTGATATTTTTAAGAGTGCTGTAGATTCAGAATTGCTTATAAAGAATGAGAGAAGAGTGGCATGGAAGGAAAGATCGTAAGAGATGAGGACACAGTGGGAGAGAGAGAGAGAGAGAGAGAGAGAGAGAGAGGAAGAGAGAGGTAGAAGGGGGCATAGAGAGGGAAAGAAAAAAAACAGTGATATGCAGAGAGGGCACTAAAGAGAGATGAGAGTGGAAAAAGGAGGAAAGCAAAGAAATAAAACTATGATATTAAAATCTATCTGCCTTATTAACAATGATACAAGTAAGCTTATTCCCTAAAGTTCATATTAAAACAGTCTTTGAAATCATACACTTGTCTCATTGCCAAAAAGAATGACCTGCAAAATAATCCACACAGATTCAACTAAAGTATATTTCCTCATACAGATATGATCTAACTATCAAATTTATCTGGATCATTTGACACGGCATCGCTACCCAGATTAATAAATGAAGGCATTTATAGAAATACAGACTGTAGTAACAGCAGTGCAGCAGAACCAACATTGGTATCAGTCCTCCTCCTCCTCCTACTCTTCTTCTCTTTTTTTTTCTTTCTCTTCTTCACCATCCTCTTCTTCCTGCTCCTCTTTCTCCCCTCCTTCCTGACCTTTTTCATCTTCCCTTGCTTCCTTTTCATCTTGACCTCTCTCTTTCTTTCTCTTTCTCTCTCTCTCTCTCTCTCTCTCTCTCTCTCTCTCTCTCTCTCTCTCTCCCTCCCTCCCTCCCTCCCCTCCAAACCACTCACTCGTTCTATTATCTCTCTTCCTCCTTCTTTTCTTCCTCAATAAAATATCCAATCAGTATCTCTTTCAAATGAAAATAAAGAAGACAATGATAAATGTCAAAGCACTCTGATAAAGAAACATTTTGCAGACACTTTCACTTCGCCTTTCTTTTCATACCAAACAAAAACAAACCTTCTTTTACATCTCCACCCCCATACCCAAACTATTTATTTGTCTGACAATTTCAGTAATGTTGTAACTTGTGTCTGTTGGATTCAAGTCAAGCCCTAGGAAAATGATCTAGAAAGTTTGAAGTTTCCCTCAAATATTTTGGCGGCTTCCGAAAATGTATGATCAAATTACAGGTAGTCTGTGATGTTTCTAACAGGCTTATTTACAAGTGGTATGTTAGATCTTCTGCAATCTGCACATTATCTGTTCGCATTTGGAATGACACTTATGGAGAGAGAGAGAGAGAGAGAGAGAGGTAAATGCTTTAGTGGGCTACTGACTGATGTTGGTGTGATGAGTAAAGATACTTCCCTAGAGATCACACAAGGAAACGATAACAAAACAAAAATGTAACATGATAGAAAAGTAGTTTCCATCTGATCTCTACTTACAAAAACATGTTTGTAAAGGATTGTGATGCCCATTTAAAAAATATTAATAAAGCTAAAAAGAATTCATAGCTCTAATGTGAAAACTAGTACAAATAGAACAATGTCCAATGCAAAATGAGATATTCTATCCACGAATATTATGTTTTACTCATCTTTGCAATCAAACATAAAAATTACTCTTTTACTCATTGGGAGAAAATTGTAACATTTTCGTCTGTCAACCACATAAAGTGAAGTCCAGAACTCTAAAATATCTGTGATAACTTGTGAATTAAAGTATGCAAGTCCATTTATAACACACTATATAATAAGCAGTTTGATTTTTATGATTTTTATGATTTTTATTACAGTATTTCTCAAGGGACATCTAGGTTTTGACTAACATTTTGTCTGCCACATGTCATGTCACAGGGGGAGTATGAAAGGGCCATTTATTAGATGACACATTTCCTTTGAAGACTGGAGGCTAAGACTACACAGGACATGGGAGACTTTCCCACCTTTCTATCCCCGATCAGACCCAACATGATCATACACCCATGCATACTGAGCACTACAACTACATCAGTTATGATTCATATAGGAAACATTAAAGATAAAGTTGAGTTCTGGTCATGCGATAGCATTGTGAAAGAAACAGTGTTGAATCGATCATAAAAATTGATCATGTACATGTAGCATACAAGTAATGGTCTGTACCACAAGGTTTGTTCGAATCTACAAATTATTTGATTGAACAGAGCTGTATTTGCTCTTCATATATGTACACTCCAAAAGTTCACTAACCAAAGCTTCCCTATTTAGATTAATGTTTGTCTTGTAATTTTGTTGGTATTAATCCCTAATCTCGGAAGCACTCAACTCACGGTTAGTTTTTATCTATTCAATCTATGAACTTTATGATTTAATACTATCCTTTATACTGTTCAAACCTCAATCTATCAATATCATTCTATTGATTTTATTTACTTCACATTATATCTGACACGCAAGATTTCATTGCTGTATTTGATCTATTCTCTGTCTTCCTTAATCTCTGTTAAATCTTAAGTCCCACTGTAATAAGAACATTAATTTTTTTAAGTTGAATGTATTGAAAGACAGGTTCTGATGCTCCTGGATGGATGGTCTAAACATAGATACCTGTCATCCACCTGTCATCCACCTGTAAGGAGTAGAGGAAGCATATAACATCATCCTCCCAGCCCCAGAGCATCTCTCAACAAAGGATGCCATCACTGAAGGCTGCCAAGAATACAAGTTTTGACCAGAAACCCTTGAAAGAAATAACTCTTGAAAGATTTCTGTGACATTCAGGGAGGTATCTATCTTGCTTAATAAAGCATGAAATGTCTGATGAGAGCGAAGAGGCTGTTAGCTCTATGTCAAATTGTATGAGTGAATGTCTTTCTGCTTCTCAATACAGAATTTCAAAGGGTATGCACTTTTAGCTAAATGTGATCTCTTTGGTGAATATGAGGAAGTCATTTAATTACAGCTTTCAATAACAGTTTAACCCTAACCCCCCCCCCCTCCCCCCTCCTTCCTCTCCCCCTCCCTCCTCTTTCTCTCTCTCACTATCTCTTCTCTCTCTCTCTCTCTCTCTCTCTCTCTCTCTCTCTCTCTCTCTCTCTCTCTATATATATATATATATATACACATACATATATATATATATATATATTTCTTTATGTCTGTCTCTCTGTCTCTGTCTCTCTCTATCTTCCTCTCCTCCTCTCTTTTATTAGTTTTCCCCTGATGTATTACTCTCGCAAATATTTAAAATATTTAAAATTTCTGCATATTTTAAATATAAAACACTGTGCGCGATTGCAATCTAAACCTATCTCTCCCCCTTTTTTCACAAAGTAGATTATATCTTGTGAATATATACAAACATGAAAGAAGTCTTGCTCAATAACAAAGGCACTACAAAACAATGAAATATATCCACTATATTTGTTGACACACTGTGTAGTTCTCACATATGACTACATGCGATTCCCATGGTATACAGACCTATCCGAGTCCACGCAGGTATCACTACCACTGGATGACCAGCTATTGAGACACCCTGTAGTACCTGGACCATAGTACATGTTATTGATCATATTCCATGTATAATCCTGACCGTAATCCCAGTTGGCAAGGACAGTCGACATCTTGACGCTGTGAAAAAGAACTTTTCCAACGTCAGAAGTTTAAGAGAACTCAACTCTTTCTCTGCTTTGGTCAACTAATGTAACATACACCGGAGTGGCACTGTGAACCTTTGTCACACTCACAGTGTACCTGTGATACTCCAGACAACATTCTGTCAACTATTCAGTTTAATACCAATGGCAAGAAAACATTGAGGAGCTTCTTAAAGGTTGTTCAAACTGCAACATTGTCCATTTAAACTTCAAACAGCACAGCACGTATTTATGCAAATGAACTCCCAGATGCACATGAAAAAAGACTGATCCAAGCATTTTCCACAAACATTTGCATCACAATGTTGATCGTGTAAAGAAGGAAACCACGTCATATTACAAGATCCGACACCTCAAGCGGTTCCAATTGAATATCATTTCTCACAGGCGCCTTTCATCTAACTTCACATGAACACTTCCTGATGATCCACATTAACATAAGATTGTTTAAATATATAACTTCATATAAATCAAAGAATAAAAACGTCCTTTCCAATTGAAACAGAAAAATGACCTACAATCAAACTTCACCGTAGAGTCTAACAGTAAATGATTTAACAAACAGTTACAGTTCCAATATTTTCACATGGGAAAATAACCCAGTTGGGAGGGTATGGCAATGGATGAATGGAACACCTACAGTGAACTTGACAGCACACTTGTTAAAACATAAGAGGTGTCCATAGTTTGATTCATTGCTAAATGATACAATGATAATCTATTGACTTGTAACCTTCACATGTGTTATGTTTGAAATGTCATAGTGATACTTCTAGACTGTATACATCATCACTCATGCATTCATTCATACTCAATACAAGGGTTTATATTTTATAGTGGGTGGCTTTGCCAAGATTTTCAACCAAAGGGGGGGGGGGGTGCAAAAAGAATGCATACCATCATTTGATTTCATTTTTTGACCATATGAATAGGTTGTATGCATTACCACAAAACACCAACTCTTTTGTTTTGTTTTTGTTTGTTAATCATTTATAAAGACCCTGGGGCCCCATGTACAATATCAATGTATTTAGTTTGAATGTAGTCCAATTGTATTTTAATAATCTGAAATTTTAATCAGAACTGAAAAATTATTACGGAGTGTCCAACTTAAATCAAAATCATACTGGAGTGTGTTTTGTCGAAAATGAGAAATTTGGATTTGTTCACTCTGAATGGATGTTCTCATCCACAAACTAGAAATCATAGTGCAGGCAAAAACAGGAGAAAAAAGAAACCTTTCATTTGTAGAAGGATAATAAATGATCAATCACTGTGTCATTTATAGGTGTAACAGACAAAACACTCCATAAACGTGGGAATGAAAAGGGCCCATGCAATGAAAGAAACTT